CGAGGGAGCGGGAGGCGGCGCGGTCGGGCCCTGATGGGCTCGCCCGGGCCGCACGCGGGCTCGGGCGGGCCGAGGCTTGCTGAGGCGCTGGGGGGCGAGGTGGCGTTGCGGGATTGGCCGGGGGCGTTGCGGGGTGAGGTGGCGCGCGCTAGTTGGTCTGGGCGCGGTGGTGGCGGCGCCAAGTGGCGGGGAGGGGTTTGGCCGGCGCAGAAATCGAGGTGGCGGCGGCTGGAAGGTTAGGGAAGGCTAGGGGATAGGTTTTAGGCTAGGAATGGCCCAAATTAGAAGGAGGGGCATATATATAGCAAGGGGGCTAGGGTTAGTGGGGTCATCATCCGTTTTCAGGCATCGGATCTCGATCCGACGGTCCGGAGCGGAGGGGGTTTTAGGTGGGCTGCAGGTGGGCTGTGCAGAAGGCCATGGCTTAGGGAGAGACGAGAGAGAGAGAGGCCTGGCGGCAGTTTCGGAGACCGAAACGTCCGACGAAGGTACCGGCAACGGTACCGCTATAAGTTTAACGGTTGGGCTATCAAATGGACTCCGAATGCGAGGAAACTTGGCAGGCGGTCTGTCTACACTATAATAAGACCGCACGACAAGTTGCAACCCATTCCGAGAACATTTTTATGCCACTTATAAAATAATATTTCGGAGGTGTCGCGGGCGCGTGCGAGTGTGTCCAGACTCGGAACGGACAACGGAGAGAACCGGGAGAACCCGAACGGATGCAAGTTTTGGAAAACATGCAGATGAAATGCAGATGATGACATGGAAAAATGCAACACGTAAGCAAATGACATGGCAACGACGGCGAATAACTGGGAGACACCTGGCGCATCGAATCCGGGGCGTTACAACTTAGCACCTCATCTAAGCACCTTTGCATTGGAAGAGGTATGCTAGCTTCTTTCCCCACCCCCTCCCCTACGGTTTGGTGACAGTGGCCTCAAAGTCACCATCCCACTTATTGCTTCTGGGTCTTTGTTGGTTGTGGGATGAATGCTCTAGGAGGAAGACAAGGTGATCTGGTTACTTGGGAGGAGAGTGAAGGGTGTGGATATGATGAAACCTTAGCCAAGTCACTCTAGTCTCTCCTTGTACCTAGCTGGTTCATGGCTGCCCATGCCTTCCCAATTGTTCTCCCGGGTGCTAGCTTCTAAGAGCATATATAGTCGCATCTGACAAATATCACCCCTCATATGTCCGCAGACTCATCCGGGCGCGTCCACGAAGAGGGCCTGGTCACGTCTCATTTTGTGTCCGGCGCAACCGGATACCTCAAATCCATACTACACCATGCAACCCAAAAGCTATGTACTACTTACTACTGCATAGATAAAACTAGCCTACTACTACTCGTCGTCAGAGATGTAGATGATCTCCACGCCGACAGTGGCAGACAGACCTGCCTCCTGGTAGTTGTCCGCCTGTGGCAGCTCAGGCTCCTCGTCGGACTCCATGTCTCCCAAGAGTTTGTTGACCTTTGCCCGTGACTCATGGAGGTGGCGGTGGTTTGCCTCCACCTTCGTCTGTGAGTGGATGGAGTCGAGGATGGCTTGCTACTCCGCCGCCGCCTCCAGCAACTCCCGCTCCTCGTCGGACTCCATGTCTCCGAAGAGTTCATTAACATTTGCCCGTGCCTCATGGAGGTGGCGGCGGTTTTACTCCACCTTCGCCTCTGAGTGGATGGAGTCGAGGATGGCTTGCTGCTCCGCCTCCTCCACTTAGGCGACCTTGAACCCCGCTTGCGCATCGCACATGCCGATTCCGGCAGCCACACGTGTCGGATCCGCCTCTCCTTCCTCCTCTTCCTCCTGCATGTTCGCGTCCGGTGCCTACTCCTCCTCCTCACACTCCAGAGTGTCCGGAGGCAGGTCGACTGCAATCCGAGCGGC